TGCCAAATTCTTTTACAAATACTGTCCTTGAGGCCATATCATGAAATTACTTAAGAGAAATTTAATGTAAAATAATTTAAGAGTATATGAGTGCTCAAACTATCATGGCTCATATCTATGTGAAATATCGATAACCAGTGAACAATCAGCTGCCATTAGCTATATAATTTCCTTTGTTAGAATCGTCTTCAGTAAATTGATCGAATATATATTGTTGAAAAGTTATATAAAATCCAGAAGCATAGGTCAAAACTGAAAAAAAAAATTAATGCCCACTTACTCCAGAAAAATGAGATAGTATCTTTCCCATGAGCGGACTTTGGCTGAAGATCAAAAATTATGAGTAAACACTGTAAAACATATGTTTATCAAGTTCTACGAACTAAGGAAAGATCATTGAGCACGAGCATATTCCATGTTGCAGGTGAGCCTTAATCCTGCATCTTTCGGAGTCTCATATTTCCACATCATTCACGTAGATGGTTCCATCGTGATCTTTCTCATCAAAAATTTTGCCTTATCCTACTGCGCTTAAATTAATCAAATGAAAAAGTAGCCTTTCTAAAGCATGAATCACGGCCTGATATAATTAACTAGACAAATCATTCTACAGGCTGCATCTTTTAGTATCTACGGTTTCCGTTCTTAACTAATTTCAATTTCTTTTGAAAGGCGTGCGCATACTTATCTTTCAATCATTAACGAAATATCTATAAGCTATTGTTGATCCTAGTTTAGGTAAATAGCCAACAATGGTATACTTTTCTAATCCGTTTTGTTACATAGATGATACTTAATTAAGTCACATTTGCTTTTTCATCTAAGCTTTGCAGAGCTCATTAAGCAGTATGAGACAAGTGATGAATAAATACTTCATTGAGTCATGGTCCTCAAGGCCGTAAAATTTTGCATTTTCAAATTCGGATTACTCATATTTTATACTTGAAACGACCTAATTGAAAACGAATCTACGAGCCGGAATATTAGTTATTAAACACACCGACTATATATATATATATATATATA